GAAGTAGAAGCGATCCTCGCACACAAAGGAACAGCGGCACGCCGTCGCTATCTAGTATCCTGGAAAGGATACTCGTCTGCCAGCAACGAATGGGTCAAAGAAGATGACCTAGAAAATTCCCAGACGCTTCTCAAAGCGTATAAGAAGAGAACGAAATTGGCTTGAAGGACAGCAAACCCAAGCAACCCCAGTCAAAGAAAAACATGTCCACTGCTTCCTCTCTTACCCTCGATTCCACCGAACTCCAGGACCAATTCGTCCCTATCTCCCAAACCGAACGATTCGTATTAGATGAACATTCCTCCCTTGCATCCTCCGTCTCCGACCCCTCATCGTCAGAGGATACCGACGTATCACTTTCGTCCTCTTTATATTTCACCGTCATTGATCGTATTGAGGGAGACGCCCTCTTTGAAGCAACGCTATTATCAGAGCAACACGCACTCGAGCTGGAGAGAAAGCTCGCCGAACGCCCAGCAAGAAGCGCAGCAATAATCGCTGCCATTATTAACATCATCAGGACCACCCGCCTGATTGAATTATCCGCAAACCGAATCCCTCTCGCATCCGCACAAGAAGCACATGAAGTCATCCAGTGCCAGAGGCGCATCAGATCGATTGCGCTTCAGCTTCTCCCTGATAGCCTTAAGCCTGACTTACTATCAGTTGTACACCTCATTGCCAACCGAACCGCGACTGAAGTCGCTCGTCCGCCTTCTCCTCCTCGTCCTCTCTCCCGTCATCAGTCACCAGATCGTAACTCGCCTCCACTTCCGATCAGAAGCACCGCAACCACAGGTTGCCTCCAGAGGAAGGAAACCTACCGGATACCAGATCGCTCGAAGGCGCTGTATGAGAGAAGATAAGAAGAAAGAAAGAGAGGTCATCGACCTTACATCCCCTTCCCCACCTCCTCGCATCTCTATAAAGAAGCCAGGCTTTGACAACGTCAAATGCCGCATATGCAAAGAATACGGGCATCGTCACAAGAACTGCCCTCAGTACTCCTGCGTGGTATGCCACGCCATCGCCCCTGGACACCTCTCGGTCTATTGTAAAGACCTCAGAGGAACCTACCCACTCCCGATCGTCTATACAGATGACGGATTCTATGAAGCCCTCCGCAATTGGGAGGCAGACCAGAAAGCATTCTATGAGCAAGAATGCGAACAAGCCGATGAAGACTATCGCAACCAGCCAAGCTCCTCAACGGACCTTGATGACTTTAACAACGCCGAGGCAGACCCCGTCTATTACGACGATGCCAGGATGGATTGATTGAAGTCGGAGACTTCAACGGTTACACCGGGGTAATGTTACAATAACATTTACTCCTATTACATTTTTCTTTTCTTGTAACCATGCCGCCGACTCTAGACTCATCTAGACTTGGCTATTCTCTTATCAAGCGGGCTGTCCGCACTTCTCTTCTTTCTGATTGTAACATAGATACTATCTTGTGCCGCATGGCGGTTTCACCTATCTTTGCTATCTTGATAGGTTGTACTCTTTTTCCTATCTCTGTTACTTTTCTTGTCGCGGCTACGCCGCTTCCTTTCACCTATATAAACCCTATGTACCATAGATGTATTCCTTAACTTAATCTACTGGGTTTTCCCCTTGAATCCTGATCTACTAAGGTCTCCACCCTTAGTAGCCTGAACTCTGATTCTAAGACAGTCACTCACTGTCTTAGCCTGAAACCCTTGATTGCGGTAGAAGTGCTAAAACCACTCACCGCCTAGGCAGAAGTGCTAAAACCACTCGCTGCTGATCCTGCATAGAAGCCGTGGCTCGTGCAGTAGGAACCACCAGAAACCTTCCTTGTATTAGGGAGGCCGACGAACTGTTCGCCCGACAGGTCTATCTTGACCGGCAACAGCCGAACTATCCCAGTCGTAACAACTTTGGATAGCGCTACTTTCTATCATGAAATCTTGAAGGAGATGTCCAACTTGAACCCTAATGGGCAGTTGTATTTCGATGCAATATTGGTCGACCTTTGTGAAGGATTTTGTACTTACTAGTCATTTTCCAAGTTTGTCGGGTACTTGATCATAGCGAGGTACTTCTGATATGTTTCTTTTGTTTCTGTTTGTCGCATGTATCAATGTACTCTCTGTGTCTCAGGCAATTGCTCGATAGACGGGCAAATCATTTTTTACCATGAACATCACCATTTAGGCCCTCAGTCAACCCCCGAATAGCAACCATCATCCTCTTTTGTTACCAAACTTTTCGGTCGAGCAGAGATCCCTTAGTAGTTGGTATTTGTTGCTCCTGAGCCTTTATCTTCGCACAAGTGACGTACCACTTATGTCGAAGAAGCGGGCTCATGTTTTCCCATGCATCATCCTCAAAAACAACCTCGAAGAGGGTTGCAGAGCCTGAGCCCCAGTCACTTCCTCACCCAAACTCTGTGCAGTAACTCAAAAGGAGCCACTTCTGATGACGTAAGGGCACTACCTACACTCTACTTTCTCTTTCTAACTCATGTTTTGCAGCGGCACTTATTCCATTCGAAGAGCCAGGAGAAAACAAGACCTGATGATATCCATGGACAGTGTTTTCGCCATTCATGAAACAGACGATACCGCTATTGATGCATGGGTCACTCATGACGATTACTACTATGTGAACGAATGCGCCAATTCCCTCGATGTTTGTACTTTTGGACTGATTTTAACATGTACTGGAAGGTGCGGGTGGACTCAGAACTGGATTGGATATGTCTGGCTTTGTGGGGACAAGATACGCAATTGAGTTTTCTCCAGGAGCAGCGAGGACTTACAAGTCAGTGTGCATTTCATGCTCGATGTGCTCGTGTTGACGTTGTCTCAGGCAAAATCACCCTAACGTGACGGTGTACAATCAATGCACAAATGTATGCCTCCAGCACGCTATTGATGTCTACCAGAAGCTCATGCGACAAGGGAGCGAAAAACCTCAATACCATTATATGAAACACTTCAATGATATTATCGTTGAACGGTGCATTTTTGCTGTCTATCCTGGATTGCTGCCCACTGAAACCCGAACTCAGAACTGTAAACGTGCCTCTGAGAGTGGGAGCTAATCATTTTGGTAAGTCAAACTACATGATTTCTGGCTGTGTGGAATTCACTGTGAAGGCCATAGACTTGCTAAAGGATTTGCACACTTGACTCTTGAGACATGAGAACGCTAGGACAAAATACAAAGGCAAGACGCGATACATTCATATTCACACGTATTGGCTGATCCTTTGACAGCCATCTATCAGCGGCTGAATGCAGACATGTACTTCTCGACGGCACTGACCACAGTGCTACCAAATAATAAGGGTGGTCAATCCTTCAGTATACATTTTCCTGTACCCTCTTCTAGGGTACAGGTTTGCTGGAAAATTTCTCTGTCGACTCGATCTTCAGATTCTTCATGGCTCCACACAGTCCGCTTCCCTGTCCTTTTTTGGTATTATATACTTTGTCAGCATTTTCTTGCAGAAGACTTTCCCTCTCCTGTCTTTGTCGTTGTGTTCATCCTCATGGCTTCTACTTTGTCTCTAGTTAGTAATGAAACTGTGCTTTGTCCACCTGTGTCTCTGGTGATCTCTGATCACGAGTCTGCAGATAATGGAACTTCCGTTGTCTCATCATGTATTTTGCGCAAATATTTCGGGTTTTTATGGGTTTCTCGTGATCGAGTGCCTCGGTGTACTCAATATCCTGCTGGTTCGCTATTGCCTGTGGTCGCGCCAAATTTGTGTATGATAGTCGAGAACTTTGCGACATTTACACGAGATCAATACACTGAGATTGCATGCACTCATTCTATCTACATGTCTTCAGCAGATCGCAAAGATCATGTTCGTGATTTGCTCCACGTGCATGTATGCAATTTGGTGTGTATTTTTAATGCAGTGGTGTTTAAGCTCTTAAAGTATCCCAGAGTTGCTGATTCTATTCCTGTCTTACTTGAGCCTTTTGCAGCTTCATCTCTTTCTCATCGTGCAAGTGCCAAACGTGATGCTCGCATTGCAGCCAGCACACCTGAGCGCACAGATGTGAGAGCAGTAGATGCTGCTTGCCATTGAGATACTTACAATGAGAAGAATGCAGATGTTGTCGATGATCCACATTTTCCAGCTGTGTTATCTTTCAACGATAAGTTGGATATTATTGGAGATTGGCAACAAAAGATGGGTCCACAATCTTTGAGACGTGGTTGTTGTGCTATTTGTGCACATAACATTTGTGCTCATGATCTTTTATGTATAGATGCAAGTAACATACCGCTCCATTTGTTGCGCAATGATTGCTTGCCAGAACATACTCTGCCTCGTACATATGATTTTGAGCTGTATCTTCGAGCAATTTGATATCCAAAAGGACTCGTCGATTGTTGGTCATTTTCTGGAGTGTATATGTGTCACTCATGTCACTTGGCTCTACTTGGCCGAGCTCCACATCAGCCTCTTAATTTGTTGGCCAATTTTCAGTATTACGGTCATGAAAGACTACCTGTTGACATACGAGAGGCTTTTTCTATGTCCTCTATTTTCGACCAGATGTTGGTGTCCCGTGCGTGAGCATCACAAGTCACCCATTTTTATACATACAAGTCTTCAATTTCTGGCCCTCACTTTTGGTCTGTGGAGGAAGGTTCACAGCGTTATAATCAAGGCAATATTGCCATTCGTCCACAGAATTCTACTGAGCTGTATACTCTTTTGCCACCGAGTCCTGATTAGGCAACTGCGTGGGTATGGGTAACCCGTACGGGTCACAGGTAGGGGTACACCTGGGGTATGGGTGGGGGTTGCCTTTTATGGCACCCGTACCTATACCCGTACCCGCACACGGGTTAGACCATTGAAACACAATATATTGCTACCTAATCAAGATGTAGTACCTATGTCAAACCAAACCAAACTTTAAAGAAGCCACAACTGTTGAAAAAATCTTTTGGTCCTGTCATCCTAAGCATACCTGTCCTAGACTGCTACCTCACATCCAGCCATGCAACCAAACATATTTACTGCAGCTGCAAAACGAGTCACAAAACTCACAGACAAGGCTAAAGCGGCACTTGAAGAGAGACTTGAAGCTTCCGGACCATCAAAGAAGCACATGATTGATGCAAATGGCGCAAGTGCGGTCTCCAACAAGTCGAAGAAGGCAAAACAAAATCCTCCCGCAGATATATCCAAAGATAGACCGGTAGCCGAGGCCTCTCCACCTCCATCTGATGTGAGAATGGCAGCAGAGCCTCGTAAGATTCGCCATGTCATTGTTTGCACCGAGGAAGAGGAAGAAGCATTGTATAACAATGCCATTGTCATTGATGACATGAGCAAGAAAAGTGGAGACGAGGCTGGTAGCGAGGCTTCAGGTCCAGAAAGTGCCGAGGACGAGCAAAGTATGTTCCTGCTATACAAACATAGCACCACTAATTAGCAACAGTGAGGCTCATGAAAGAATAGGTATCACCTGTTTATGCATTCTTTGACCCAACTCCCTGCATCACTGAAGTTGGTGGTCGACGTGCACATGAATTCAAGTGCCGTGCGAAAGGATGCAAGGCGACGATCCGACGATTCCTGGACAAAAAGGATGCGTGATCGACGGGGAACATGCGCAAACATGTAAAATCTTGCTGGGGGGAAGATTCACTCAATGCTGCAGACGATGCCAAAGATGCAGATGAAGTGCGAGCAAAAATTGTCGGAAGTATCCTAAAAAACGGGTCAATCACGGCATCTTTCGAATGGAACAGCTGAAAAGCTTGTCCGTGACCAATTTACTCTTTATTCAGCCTTGGATGCCAACCTTCAAGACAACGACTTGGACATGGAGACTTTACCTACAGAGACATCACATAAGGTACGTCTTTTTTCTAACTGTAACTACTGACTACTGATTCTATTCTAGATGAATAACATGTTTGATGGCATGCCTGCCCTTGCTCCGCCAAAATCAACTGATCTCCGTGATGAGCTCGAGCGCTATCTCACCTCCGACATTGAAAATGTGCCTGATGCACTCGCATGGTGGCATGAACGTCGTACCACCTACCCTCGTCTATTGTGGATGGCGCTGGACTACCTTACTATTCCTGGTGAGTTTTTTTTAATTGAACTTGCATATACTACAGCTAATAATATCAACAGCCACATCAGTCGACGTTGAACGACTATTCAGCTGAGGATGGCTCTTACTCTCACACGTGCGCTCACGCTTATCTGCACAATCGACGCGCGCACTGCTGTGCCTCAGTTTTTGGAGCAAACTCAACCTGGTCAAGACTGATGACATCGAAGGTGATGAACAGGAGCTCAATGATGGGTGGGATCAAATTATTGTTGAGTAGTTTACTACACCATGTCGTAGTTTTTCCCCATAGTATTTGTTACCCGCGGGTACACCCTTGATGGGTTGTACCCCGGGTCCTTCTTTCACTACCCACTGTGCAACCCGTACCCTTGCCGCGGGTGTGGGTTTTTCTCGGGGTGCGGGTGGAGGTTGACCTGCCGACACCCGCAGGTTCACCCATGCAGATCCCTAGCGAGAATAAGCTGCAAACTTTGCGACAGTAAGCCATAATACAAACCAGTACTGTCAAAAAACTTACACGCTTAGCGAGTGCGTCCCTTGTAGACATAACAATACTGGCACGTGATCGATTGTTGCTAGCACCGCCCAAGTGACAATCATAGTGCGCTTGTATGTCACCCCACAGCGGGTCGCTGTCTTGAAGGCTGTAGTAGTGGTCACGCTGTCTCTTTCTCCAATCACCAAGTTCTTCAAGAGGATATTGGTTATTGTGGGCACCACAACATGAAATAAATACTCACCTTCATCGGTTTCTCGAGGATATTTTCCTTTATACCATCCTTGGTGCATGTTCCATGGGGTCTCCACCCTGGAGTGTTTCACAGACAACCCAGCCTCGATGAGTATTGTATGTGCAGATTTTCCATATTTGTCACCAATTATCTTGGCAGCATGAAGTGTCTTGCGCCTGAGCTCCTGCGCATCGTCTATGCCTTCCTGGCACAGCCGCCCAGGTCTAGAAGTGATGGGAAGGTCGTTGTCGTCATCAGTCTCCATTGCCATGGAGCTTTTTGGCAGAGCACTGGAGACAGCACTCTTCTCAACCGACTTCGTCGTCACATGCGCGGCAGCCTGGAGTATCTGGGTGGATGGGGGAGTCTCTGTTACTGTGAATTTTGGGGGGAGAGCTTTTGGAGGCATGCGCTTCTTGAGCAATTTCGCCTTTGATGGAGGTGCGGGTATCTCATTGTCATTGTCATCATCATCTTCTTCTTTCTCTTTGTCGGCATCTTGATCTTCTGTGTATTCATCATCTTTGTCAGACCCCTCTTCCGAAGAGGAAGGATCATGCTGAGCAAGCATTGCACGGTGTTCAGCCTGTCTCCTCGCTTCTCGATTTTGGTACGGGTAGTTGTTCTCTGAGGAAGGGGCGCCATTCAAGGAAGAATCTTCATCCTCTGGAGTATCAGAGGGGGGTGAAGATTCTGGGAGACGAAAAAAGTACTGTTAGTGAAAATGATTCATGGGAAACGGTGGTACATACCATGAATTTTGGGATCATCTACAAGATTGCCCTTGTGAGTATCCGCTTGTCCTTCACTGTTGTCCTCATCGTCTGTGACAGGGTCATCAGTCTTGGGGTGGTCTTTGTATTAGTCGTGTCAGTGGGTAGTTACTCGGTTTGTAGAATGGCCGCCCATACCTTGGGTATCAGACTCAGTGTCAGTGGGCGGCTCTGTGGTAGCAATGGAGGATTTCGCGTGCCGGGCAAGGATGGCGCTGTAGTCATCGAAGCTCATAAACGAGTTCCCCCTCGGCAAGGGGGTAGGTTTGATTTTTTTGGCGGGTGGTAGTGTCTAAGGTGTCATTATTACATTAGTAAATAGACGAAAAGGAAGGAAGGGATGCCTACCATTTTAGTCTGAAGCTTTCAAAGACGACAAATATCAATGTCTTGTGATAAACAAAATAAAAATAAATGTACCATGCGTTGGTTGATAGGCACACCACTGTGGGTACGCATCACGAAGTCGACGACTGGAGTTGCCATCCGCGGGTTAGCGCACTTTTTGGTGGAAGATGTTTTTTTGGGAGGCATGGCAGAGGGAGCTTGACAAATTCTGAACTTAAGAGATCTATGGACACGAATACGACAGAAAGCAGCTTGAAGAACACAAAGTCCTTTTCAGCGGCCAAGACACGAAGTCTCACAAACAGCGAATGCAAGTAAAAACTGATGTAGGAGTAAGTTAGAACAATAGACAATGTGATGGGGAAATTCTAACCTACCTGACTTTTCAAGCAAATTCTCAAGACAAGAAGGAAAACACTGTAGTGAGAATGGCTTTGAGTGACAGAAAGTTGATGGCAAAAATTTTGAGCATACCTGGTTTTTAAAGGTAGGAACAGGGCGCCTACAGTGTACTAGGCAATATATGGATAAGATTGTCGGCTGGATGACGAACAAACTTTGACAGAAGACTCCAATACTCTAATGGTGTGGCTTCCCAGATGGCAGATATGACACACAGACCACATTTGGGACGGGCGAGGCCATCGATGGACACCGCTGTGGGTGGACACTAATTAATGAAAAATGATTAGCAGAAACCGCAGGCTGGACTAACCTGATAGGGCCGGATCGTCAGTAGAGACCACAATGACGAGTGTCGCCAATATAGGAGGAAAGAGAGCGTGAATGGATGGCACATCATCCATTGGATTAGTCTGCTGGCCGAAGTAGCATGCAGAGTACCCAAATCAATTATGGAAAAGTCTAGTTCAATTGATAATTGTCGCAATGAATTGATCAGAAACAATACTTAGACCAGATTGTGGGCAATGCTCTCACCTGATGGTCATTTACACTGCCAGGCTAATAAATGCGAGTCTCCAAGAACATCTCTTTGAGCGCGTGGCACCGCCTGCCAAGCTATCAGCTTTAAGTGAATGCTTAATATCATCGCAAGCGGAAAGTCCTGTCAATGACATTTTAATAGTCTGAGGAGCGACATGCCAGACGGGATGATGTGCACTGACAGGTTTGTACCCAGCTGGATTGATTGATATCAATTATCAGGCACCGTGGTTGACAAACGATAACGCTCTCACCTGATATGGCTGATATTCAATAACCCTGTGAGGAATGGGCAAGAGCATCACAGACTGCATCTAATTCAAGTGTGATGATGGGCGCTGACGATTAGATGCGAGCTAGACAATTAAGAATGGTTCTACACACCTGTATGTAGACCATGCCTGATCCTTCGCCTTCGACAGACACCGACCAACGGTTGTGCTAGGAAATACTGGAACATAGATTGAGTACAGGGTGATGAAAAGCGAACTATGACTTAGCTACCAGACAGCGTCAACAATAGCACCCAATGACATTTGCTATCGCAAAGGCAGGAGCTCCAAGAGACTGATGAGGGTGTCAAAATAATTCGAGATGGTAAGCCAGACATTGGAGGATGGTGGCAGATTGAGTAGTCGTAACAGTGCTAACACGAAGTCAGACTGTGTGTAATGTATCAGAAGTGACATGAAGTCACTTCCGATAGTGTGAGCTACCGCGAAGGCAGCTTCAGAGGAGTTGAGGGGCAGATTAATAGAGGAATAGAGAGGAGGAAGGTGGCATAGTTGACGAATGTTAGATCCAACTTCTCACAATTCTCATTTGTCACAAGCCCATTTGGGTTATCCCAGGGCATAATCACACTTTGCGCCTTCACCCTTCAACCTTCACCCTTCACCCTTTACCCTTTACCTTGTCGCTTGCTCTTTTCAACTCTTCCTTCTCCTCTCCATTGTTGGTGTCGATTATTCTGCCTTTGTGGTAGACAACCCTATTCCAGTGACTTCGTGTTACTGTGCAACAGCACTCGCTACTCTAACTTCGGTTACAGTACTATACCCTTCATCATGTTCAGATTCCTCTTAGGTTGCACTTACCGTGCCTTTGTTGGTTTGTCACTCAATTACTCACTCTCATCGGATAGTCACCTTTCCGTCATTTGCAGTCCCTCTGACAATGCCTCTGACAATACCTCGTGAATTCAAAGCATTCTTACATGACGGTGATAGTAAGTGCCCTTGGTAATTGTCCTGTGATCCTCCTCTAATTTTGATATAGATGCTATCACAGCTACAGACGCACACTCTCTCACCTATGACGGTCAACTCGTTTTCACTTCGCCTAATATGAATTTTGTTCCCCAACTATACAACAATCCCTCCGATATTGTGCAAGCGAGGGCGGATGGGAAGTTTTGGACGATGGATCCTTTCCAGTGGCCTCAAATGTATGCAGACACTTACACCTGGAGTTTTACCATTCCATGACGCGAATTCCATGATCCTAGCACTGACCTATGGTATGCTTGGTGGTCGCCATCTTTTTCTGATAATTTTGAGCCACTATCTCCTGGTCATGTCTTTGGCAAGCTGAAGTCCACCCACCGTGATCACCTATTTCGACTCTACGAGCGGGCTAACAAGTGTGTCGGTTCCTACAAGCTATTCTGAGAAAACAAGCAAGATGTGGTTGTTGGATGGGTCACCAGTTTGCGCTCTGTTTTTGAGCGCTTCAAAGAGACGCAGGCTTGGCGGTATATTGTGATGATCTTGGCCGAGTTTCAGAGGCGATTCCTGGAGATATGGAGCATGATGGATTACCTTGAGATCTTTGAGCCACGGCTGAAATTTGAGGACAGAGCGCACGGGGTCAACAAGACTTGGATGGGGTGCTTCACCAAAGACTCCGCTATCACGTTGAGGCTCCACAAGGCTGGTATACCTGTGTGGTTGATATGAGATGTCAGGCTCATTGATGATAAGATTAACATCCGCCAAGTTGTTCCCTTCACTCCTGCTGACCTCGTGTTTGGGATGTACCTCCATCCCATTAAGAACTTCACTCAGCCTTTCAATATCCGTTACAAGGGTCCAAGTAATCATCAATGCCAGGCTGCAGTTCATCAACCGTACCTTACTTTTGAAGAGATCCCCATAGATCAAACCGAAGTCAATTGCTTTGCAGCTTCCAGAGAGCCATCATCGGGTAAAGCGCCCACCAAGACCATGAAAAATAAGTCCGTAGTATGTGAGTGCAGTGTCTAATTTCGGTTCACCATTCTTATCTAACAATTATCTAGATGAACTGACCGCTCTGCGCCAGAACCAGTCTCAAGTTGGACATGACAAATGGTCCAATGTGGCTCACCCGTTCATGCCCAACATCAACACCTTCTTCGCATGGGCTATGACTCACGCGGAGAAAGATTTGAGTCGTGTCAAGCCAACCCACGCAAGAATGGATGAGGGATACAGGCTCCCCGATCCTGGATTATTTGTCAACATCCTTTCCTCACAGTCTCTGAAGAAATATCTTGCTAACTGGTTAGCATGCTGTGAGTCGTGGCTGAGGCATGTTTATATGTCGCCTCCATCTCTGCTCCCTCGGTCCCAAAGCTGGCGTGATCTATTGATCATGCAGCCAACAACACCACAGCCCTCGTCATCAAGTGGTCAGATGCCATCAGGCAAGACTGGCAAGTCCAAAGCCAAACTCGACCTGTTCTTTGGAGATGAATTATCGCTCCTACGCCAGTTTTGGACTGGATCCCAGATGTTGCAATGGAGGGGCCAGAAAATCGAAGCAGCAATACTCGAGAATCCGCCGCATCGTCTCATTCAACAGATCATATACGAGATTTGCGAGCAAAGCTTCCGATACGACCTTCTGGAACTCGACGAACATCTTGCCGGTCACATGTGGCTGGATCGGGAGGCGAAGAAGTGTCGCATGGAGTTGCTCTGTGGCATTTTTCCTCAGCATGTGGGATAAGGATTTTTCGACTCGGAATGATGGACTTAATGCTGAGTCTCTCCAGGATGCTCTTCCATATTTCGAGAATTTTCGTCAAGTGTTGATCGCATGGGACGGTGCTCCTCAAGATCTCAAACAGCCTTTTACTGAGTTGATGCCTGAGGGAGAGAAGTGGCAATGCATGAAGCAATGTGCCCTGTTTTATGTACAATCATTTTATGACAACACAGGTCACCCCCCCATGGTCTCTCATATACTTTACGTGGGTCCATAGACGATTTACACTCGCTTCTGTTCGCTTCTGTATTTGTTTGTTGATGTGAATTGCTATGTAGCGTGGTTCTTTCATGTACAATTTCTGTTGGTGAATTCTATTGACTTGTTGCTCCGGTGCTGTTCACTGTTTGTTGATCACTGGCGTCCATGACCATTATCATCCTCCCAGTCTAGTATCTACTAATTTTTGCTACATAGGTTATACGAACTGGGACTTCATGTTCCTCTCTGTTTGTTGACTGACTTCGAGTCAGTGACAATATTCTTGCAGGCTTTGTGCCTACCAGAAACATCTACCATGGATGGAGGACCATATCCACAGAATATCGCCTCAATGTCTACTCCTGCAACTCCTGTCCGTCGTCATTCGCAGCAAATATCAGTTACACCGTCCATGGTCAAGAAGTGCAGGTAACCATGAGGAAGCAACACATTTCATCTTCCAGGTCCTCCTCCAGTGCTAGTACTTCTGGGTAGGTGGTATTTCACCCAACAAATTGCTTCCAATTCCAATCCTTGGCTTGATGTCCCACCTCCTGATCCAATTGACCAGGGCAGGCCTTTGTTTTATAACGATGTCCACTTCTTCTCCGATCCCTCCGCTCCAATGGGCGACAGAAAAAATTCAATCAGTGGCAACACTGGTCAAATGAAGTGATCCCTTCGCTCATCGGTCCATACCTCACATATCAATACAAATCCTCTTCACTCTGTCATTGGCCTGCATTTCAAAATAATCATATCGAGTGTATGGCTTCATGCCACAGGAGGACTTTAGAAGTGACTTGTGTTTTCTTCAATTGTACGAACTCACCATATTGTTCTGTGGCTCGAATTGACTGTAGTCCAGATTTAGAGGTTTTGAACATTGACTGCTGCCCCTGCGCACCCGCACCCTTTCAACTTCTTAAGTTGGGGCTATTTGCCTGTGCACCCATAGCTCCATCTCTTGCTGTTGACCTACGTGTACTAGAGCTCGTTAGGACTCTTTTTGTATGGATCACCCCCAATACAACAGCTTGGTGTGAAGCATTGGAAGTTTTTCTAACAGCTCGGGGTTACAAACTTTCTACAAAGGTCTGCCTACATGTTTTTTTTTGAAGTAAACTAACTCCAGCATCTTCAGGACAATCTTCGCCGCCGCTTCAGTAACGCGTATCATTGGTACTCAGTCCTTGTGACGAATGCTGGAGACCACGTATACAGCCTCATTTCACAACATCTTCCTTCGCGTTCTTTGGGGGACGAAGTCTTGCCTGCACAACCAAGCGATTATCTCCGTTCACGTTGTCCAGTTTGTTTTGGAATGCAGGATTGGCAAAAGGATCATGGTTCCCATCTCAAGTATGTCTTTCCTACCGTGTTTTTCCCCATGCTGATGTTTTTGCAGGCTAGATTGCCATGTATGCATCGATGCATGCTTCACACAGAAATGGTCAGCCAATTCACGTGGGGCCAATGGCCTAGATCCGCCAAACCCACCACGATCTGTCTTCATTTCGGACGAAGAGGTCACACAGATGGAAGCTCACGTACGTGCCTGTCGAGGCTCCCTACCTGGTCGTGGAACAAAACACAAGAAGCCCAAAGGCGATGAAGACAGGTACGAAGATGGTATGCGCATCCCTGTATCGACATTGGATGCCTGCAGGGAATCCTTTCTTGCTGCCGACGAAAAACGGGAGAAAGCTAACACCTGTTTCTTTGCCGATACAGGAATCATGGCCTGTCACAACCCAAATAATGAATTAATGCTTGGGTGTTACGACTGGGATAGTTCTGCTGTTGCCGGTCAAGATAGACCTATCAGGCGAACAGTTCGTCGGCCTTCCTAATACAAGGAAGGTTTCTGGTGGTTCCTTCTGCACGAGCCGCGGCTTCTATGCAGGATCAGCGGCAAGTGGTTTTAGCACTTCTGCCTAGGCGGTGAGTGGTTTTAGCACTTCTACCGCAATCAAGAGTTTCAGGCTAAGACAGTGAGTGACTGCCTTAGAATCAGAGTTCAGGCTACTAAGGGTGGAGACCTTAGTAGATCAGGATTCAAGGGGAAAACCCAGTAGATTAAGTTAAGGAATACATCTATGGTACATAGGGTTTATATAGGTGAAAGGAAGCGGCGTAGCCGCGACAAGAAAAGTAACAGAGATAGGAAAAAGAGTACAACCTATCAAGATAGCAAAGATAGGTGAAACCGCCATGCGGCACAAGATAGTATCTATGTTACAATCAGAAAGAAGAGAAGTGCGGACAGCCCGCTTGATAAGAGAATAGCCAAGTCTAGATGAGTCTAGAGTCGGCGGCATGGTTACAAGAAAAGAAAAATGTAATAGGAGTAAATGTTATTGTAACATTGGGCAGAGACTAGGACTCGACTAAGGTTATCACAACAAGGAAAAGAGGAGCAAGTACATCTTGGATTGCTACGGTGTAGATACAAGAGGTTTGAACTAAAGAACTATTGACCAAGACGTACTACCTATATACAACTATTGAAACGGAGATTGAAACTGAGCTACAACTACTAGCCAATCATAAAAAGAAGAAGAGAGTCGTACCATAGAACATCGTAGAATATTAAAGAAGCATCACGTGACCATATCTTATCTTATTGTATCTAATCTAATCTATTCACAATCAAAGAACTTGTCTTCTTCATCAGTCACATTGAAGACACGTGTCATAGGCACTAAAGGTATTTTGGGAATGATAGACGCTTTCAGGGTAGGGTTAGGGTTTGACTTGGGCACTGTGTATTGACGCTTAGGAAGATTTAGGAAAGAATAATGGTTTGTTAAAGGTACTCGTGACATGGCCTTACTTTGTCATCATGATTGTGTCTTATGGTTGGTCAATATGACATCAGCAGGTGAAAAACAATATTATGCACTTGCACTGATTAAAAAGCTCTTCGAACATCTTCCACCAACCATGACCGTCGGTATCTTGTATAATATTGCATGTCAGCTCGAGTGTAGTTGTCTTAAATACCAACTTCTCGAGCAAGGTATTCTCTCACGTATCGTCTTTTCTATATCCGTATTTCACGTGTATGGACATCAGTGGCCTTGTCAGCTTATTTATCACCCTCACAAATGTGAAGTGTTTGGACTTTCTGACAGAGAGGGCTGTGAGCGCCTGTGGAGCACTCTCAAGATGTTGATCCCCCCTTGTGGGTCTCTGGGGTAAGTATCTTAATTTGTTGGAATACCTTGACTGACTAACATCAAGATAGTACCACCAACGGCTTTTTGTGCTGAATGCACAAGTTCGGCATCTTGACGGCAAAAATATGGATACATTTGGTGAGTGGCTGAGTCGCAGATGGTCTCGTTGCCAGACAAAGAAGAGCAGTGCAGAACATGTGCTTCAACAGCTCTCTGTGGATGAGGCTAATATACGCCCGGAATGGAGGGCTCAGGTCGAGCACCAAACGAAACCCTTATCCAGTGCGTGCTTTATTTTATATTTTCATATTTCCCTAATATTAATAAAAAGGGAGATCAAAAACCAACAGTGACGAGCAAATATCAAAGATTTTGACCCTCGAGCGAACACTCAGTAACCTGGACAATTCTGTTCGTGCTCTTGAGATGCAGCTCTGTGCTGGCAACACTCTTAACAATGTTGACTTCAACCTTCGACTTGCAGACGAACACACCCACCGGTCCAAAGTCACTGATACTCTGCGACAATGGAAGGCGGCCCTTGGCATTGGGCAACTTACCGATCTTCAACAACTTCGACGTAGTATATTCCTTCAAATTCGTCTGGATGCGCAAGCTGTCAAGGCATGCCTTTGTGAACATTGTCTTAATAACCGAGGGTCTTATATAAAGTCGTGTAAATGTAATGACACCACAATTACACTTTGGATAAGACTGCTTGCCAGTTCTTGATTAACACGGTCTACGACTTTTCCTATTTCGTGGTAGATAACATGTGAGTTCTTGGGAGGCTCGCTAAACTAATCTTTGTCAAGATCAACCTAGCCAGAGCTTTACTTTTCTTTATTGAAACTCAAATCTCTTGTCTAGGAATAAGCTTCTAGACACGTAATTCGGTTTCTGGAATGTATTTGCCTAGGAAATCTCCTTCTAGGCTCTGGACTTGGATACTGGAACTAGTGAGACGTGGTCTCAAATATATGAAATATGACCAAGATCGCTTGGTCTATGGACACCTGACTGTGAGACAATGGTCTCAAATATACGATATATGTTCAAGATCGCTTGAACAAAGGGGACTATAACTTGACCAAGATCGCTTGGTCTATGGAACTACTAGTGAGATGTGGTCTCAACAATATGATAGATGACTAAGATCACTTAGTCAAAGGGCACAGAGCAATGAGACAAAGGGGTCTCAAAGACAATATATATGACCAAGAACGCTTGGTCTATAGCACTAAATAAGTTTCTAAGGTAAGAAACTTATAATCTCAAGGGAATTCTTTTCCCTGCACTTGTCTCACTTCAAAGGGACTAACTTTGCAAGTGAAATATCTGATAGGCAGATAGCTACAAATGGGAGATCATATTTTTTTGGGGGGGAGAATGGGCTCTCCTTATATACATTTTGTGTGGGAAAGTAACCTAGGTTCACAAACAATAAAAAATAAGGAGGACCAATCAAAATATTGGGTCAAACCCAATAAAAGAATAAAATACAAGTGAAAGATGGAGCTATGACATCATTGTGGAGCAGAACATTCTGGAATGTGGAGTAATGACATCATAATGACATCAAGAGTGACATCATTGTGGAGCAAAAGATTCCAGAACCTTCCATGAGTGAGTCAGAGTGAGTCATTGTGGAGCAGAATATTCTAGAAGGAAATGACATCATGAATGATGTCATTGTAGAGTAGAATAATCTAGAGCTTGATGACATAATATCTTTCAACAGAATACCTGCAGGAGTATCTGTGGAGTCTTATGACATCATAATGACATCATACCCTATGGGTACAATTTTATGAAGTGTCAGGTGAGTCAAAGCATCCTAATGAAAAAGTAAAGTAAAGAAACACTAGAGAAAAGTAGGTAGCAAAAATAAGACAGTTGGCAGGAATTGAAACGCGGTCTTTTTGGATAGGTTTTTTATAGGCTTTGTACTTTTCTCTATGGTTTTCTCTAGCCAAAGTGAATAAGCCGAAGGCAAGGCTATACCTTAACCTCCATTTCTCTTCTCACATCAACTAGGTCTAAATGTGATTCCCATCTCACATTAGACTTTTTCCGTCAAAACGTATTCAGATCATGAAACTTGGGGAAAACTGGAAATATGAACCATGGTTTGAAACCAAGGTATGGGTTGACTAGTCTGAGGACTAAGCTAACAGACTTTATCTTTTGAGGGTCACCTAGTATTCATGTCCATGCATGATTCCCACATCATGCAGGACAACGTCTTCGCCAGCGCAAGTTTGAAATTGAGAGGTTTGAATGGTCATACCATCAGACAGTAAATGGTATGTAGCTCATTCCGATATGTTGACATGACCGTGATTATCTTCAATCTAGAGCACAAGCTTCATGTGCATGCAGAAGCTTCAATTCAACAGCGCAACCCTACTATACAAAAGCTCGTCACAACTTACAACAACCTCTGCAATAAACTCATTGACTTAATTTGATGAGGCGAAGCTCCTGCCGGTGCGATAGCACCTCATTCTATCTCTCCGACTGGTATCTTTCAGCTTGACGGCAATGACATGGCTCCACCTGCCTGGCTAGCAGATGAAAATATGTGCACAGCAATTAAATTTCAACTCGAGGTGGATCGGTGCAATGAGGAAGGGGCTCATATCATGTGAGAACGTTGCATTCTCCAGGAGTGGATGATGGCTGAGTGGGATGCCTTGCAGGAGGCTTGCACTCATGCAGGTAAGTTTGTACAACATTCTACTGCCGTGACACTGATTGTTACAATAACATTTACTCCTATTTTCATTTTTCTTTCTTGTAACCATGCCGCCGACTCTAGACTCATCTAGACTCGGCTATTCTCTTATCAAGCAGGCTGTCCGCACTTCTCTTCTTTCCTGATTGTAACATAGATACTATCTTGCGCCGCATGGCGGTTTCACCTATCTTTGCTATCTTGATAGGTTGTACTCTTTTCCTATCTCTGTTACCTTTCTTGTCGCGGCAACTCCGCTCCATTTTTACCTATATAAACCCCATGTACCATAGATGTATTCCTTAACTTAATCTACTGGGTTTTCCTCTTGAAACCTGATCTACTAAGGTCCCCACCCTTAGTAGCCTGAACTCTGATTCTAAGACAGTCACTCACTGTCTTAGCCTGAAACCCTTGATTATGGTAGAAGTGCTAAAACCACTCGCCGCTGATCCTGCATAGAAGCCGTGGCTCGTGCAGTAGGAACCACCAGAAACCTTCCTTGTATTAGGAAGGCCGATGAACTGTTCGCCCGACAGGTCTATCTTGACCGGCAACAGCAGAACTATCCCAGTCGTAACAAAAGATTAAGTTCCTCACCCAGTACCTGTTTTCCAACAGTACTTTGACACCATTGATTCGATAACTGTGAACATCCTCGCCACCGCATTTGGAAACATGTCGGGACCCTCCGCCTCATCCAGTGCCGCTGCAGCAGCCGCATATAAACCGATCAAAATCAAAATCGGAACACCACCGATCTTTGATGGCAACGAAAAGAACGCAAAAAGCTTTTTGCTCTCGGTTGCCGCCTACCTTGACATTAACAGTGAAATCTACAACACTGATAAGAAATGCATCATCTTCGCCACCTCTTTCATGAATGAAAAGTCAGCATTGACCTGGAAGGAGGACTTCCTGACTCTAGCTCAAG